AATATCGCTTATTTTCACGGAAATCCCTGTTTTTAACCCTAAAATATCACTTATTTTCATAGAAATCCGTTTTTTTCCACTAAAATATCGCTTATTTTCATAGAAATCCCTGTTTTTGACCCTAAAGTATCGCTTATTTTCATAGAAATCCCTCATTTTAACCTTAAATATCGCTTATTTTCACAGAAATCCCTGTTTTTCCCCTAAAATATCGCTTATTTTCATAGAAATCCCTGATTTTCCCCTAAAATATCGCTTATTTTCATGGAAACCTTTGTATTTCCCCTTCAGTATAGCATATTTTCATGGAAATCCCTGTTTTTCCCCTTAAATATCGCTTGTTTTCACTGAAATCCCTGTTTTTAACATTCAATATCGCTTATTTTCATAGAAATCCCTGTTTTTAACCCCGAAATATCGCTTATTTTCATCGAAATCCCTGTTTTTAAACCTAAAATATCACATATTTTCTTGGAAATCCCTGTTTGAAAACCTGAGGGCCGCAAGTTCTGACCGCATGTTCGTGACGAGAGCAGTGGTGAGAAAGCAATGAAGCAATGAAGTCGTGCGTGTGTTTGGGCAGCAAAAATGTGCGTCTGCTGGCTGTTTGTGCGAGTGGTGAAGCGTCGCCAAAAAGGGGAACCTGCAGCGCTCAGCCAATGAGGAGCCAGGGCAGGAAGAGCTCAGCAGTGGGCAATGGGGGAGCCAAGACGCAGCGCTGCTGCTCAGGGCTCTGCTGCTGGCAGGAGCCGTCATTGCAATGCGAACGGAATCGGCTTTGGAAGAAAAGGGGACGATGGGGAAGGAAAAGGAATGGGGTCAAGGGGGGGGAAACGAAGAGGGAGAAAAAGAGGAAAAGGAAAACCAAAAAGGGGGACGGGGCGAAAAGGGAGATGGGGAGGCAAAGGGGTAAAGGGGGTGAAAGGGGAAGTGGGGATGGGGGCAAAAAGAAGAAGAAGGGGGCGAAGAAGAGGAGAGTAAAGGGGACCAAAGGGAAAGGAAGACAAGAGGGGAAAGGGGAAAAGAAGAATGAGAAAGGAAGGAAAAAGAAAAGGAGATGAGGAGGAGAAAAGGAGAGAGGAGAACAGAGGAAAAAAGGGGGCAAAAAAGGGAGATAAAAGGGGGGAAGGGACAGTAAAAAGGGGACCAGGAAGGAAAGAACAGGAGATGAGAACAAGGAAAAGGAAAGGGGAAAAGGGGAAGGGGGAAGGTGAAGAGAAAAGGCGGGCACAAGGCGGGCACAAGGCGGGCACAAGGCGGGCACAAG